CTTAATTTTTGTTGATGGGGGGGGTGGGGGGTGGAAAACAGCTTGTCTCGACAGCTTGCAGATGTAGACATATGGCGCCAAAGTAATAAATCTTGAGGGAGATAATGGCCCCCTGCCTTGAAGTAAACCGACACCCATCCGTTTTGAGGAGAGACGGATTCAGGGTCTTTTCGGTCTAAAAACGACTCTTTTATTAGTACTAAAACAGAGTCGGACCGGCGCCAGTTTTTGGGGTCGTGCGGGTCGTTTTCAGACTCTAAAACAGGGTCGTTTGTTCTATGCGGGTGAGTCTTTGCCACAAACTATGATTTTTCTAATCCCAATAAATACAGGGAACACAATCAATTACAGCCCAGATATTTCAACTTATCAATTCTGTTAGGTATAACATATATTGGGATTAAAAAATTTAAGTTTGTGGCAAAGACTCAATTCCTTTGTTAATTTCATGCAAAATAATTTGCAGGTTTGTAAAATATCAACATTCCTTCGTTTTTTTTTTTTGGCAACTCAAACCAAATTTACAATTTTATTTAAAAAATTTCGTATCTTATCGTTACGTTGTCTTTGAAAATAGTTTTTTTTGTTAAAGAACACTTTCTGGGAGAAATAATGAACTCAAAAATAGCAAAGATGGGAATTTAAAGGGGCTGTGTCGAATAAAATAGTATAGATTACACTCCAAAGTCCTTAAACATACATATTACATATTCAGAAAGGTATCCTTTAAACCTTTATCTGAGTATCACGTTGATATCCTATACTTAAAAATAGTTAAATACTTTTAATTTTCTTTTTCCCCATGCTACAAATAATCCGCAAGCCACTTTTTAACAAAAAATAGCATCTCTGTTACTTTAGCTGAGACAAAAGTTTAAAGGGTAGCTGTGTGAATCAGTGTTCCCATGTAATAACTCTAAAAGTATCTTTATACCTGCAAATATTCTTTACACAGAGCAAAGGCCTTTTCTCTCACTTTCTCACTTTGGGCCTGAAAAGGAATTGAGTTTTTGCCACAAACATAAATTTTCAAATCCATAAATCTCAAAAACCTAATTTTGGAAACCTTTGATATTTCAAACTTACACTTCCTGATCTAACAGTATTCGAAGTTTGAAATATCGAAGGTCTACGAAATAGGGTTATAAAGATAAAAGGATTAGAAAATCAGAGTTTGTGGCAAAAACTCAATTCCTTTATCAAATTGTAAGTAATTTGGCATTGGTACCACGGGCAGTGTGCTCAGCATGTACTTGTAGTGTATTTTGATTTACCCCAGAGTAATAACAATGTATTAATATTGTTATATGTATCAGCACTACATCAAGCAGTGAGAAGAAATAAACATTATCCAAATACTCACAAAGTTTCTATAGTTTAAACTGTCTTTGGTCTCTTTTAATATCTCTAACATAGTGTTTTAATGTTCTCTTACGGGGGAGGGATGTAATGAATAGGAATATATTGGTAAAAACATTTATATGATTTGTTCAGTTCATGGAGATATTTACTATTTTTAGTGTAGAAATTATTTTCTGGATTCTTTCTTTTGACAAATCAAAAATCTATCACTACTTCAAAAGTTTGAAATTAGTATTTGCTAACAAAAATTTTACATCTTTTTAAATATTATCAGGTTTGGACGAAATTTTGGAATTTAGCGAAAAAATCTTTCCCTTAAATTTATAATTCGATAGTCGATTTAGACTGACAATTATAGATACTCATACATATATATATAACATATATATATGTATATATATATATATATATATATATATATATATATATATATATATATAGATAAGAAAAGTATTTTACAACAAATCTTTTAAATTACTATTTCATATGAATTTCATATACAGGGTGCAAAATCAAAAAAGAACAAAATGTTTTTTTAAAAGTTTTCTTGTTCTTACTTTAAAACTGTATTTCTGCATCAAATTATCGTTTACCTGTGATTCCATGTCAATCTTCATCCGGATTTCAGGGTTTTAAAATTCTCACTTTTTTCTGAAAAAAAACACTTGATATCTTTTTTATTTGTAATTTGTATTTCGATCAAACGAATGTAAAATTTAGCACGAAGACATTTTATTTTTTCAATTTTGTCATAAAGTTCACTTCAAATACAAAACTATTTTATATCTTTCTATAAAAGCTCTTCGCTCATTGGTATATATATAGACGTAGTAAACGCCTACTACATAACAATGTCTCGAGCTCTAAATGCCACACAGACACAAGCGTAGCTATCAAACAAGCTCTTAATCGATCTATACCAAATGCCAAGGTACGATTATTAGTGGACTTAATTCTTCATTTTCCCTAGTGGGTGGCATGTGACTAATTTTTCAAAATTTTATGTTCTTTCTATGCATTTATTTAGTTTTCTTGTAGATGTTGAACTCGAGTTGGCGAATACAAAAATCTAAACACTGTAAAGGTTTTTTGAAAATATCTTTTAAATGGAGATAGATATTACTTTGCGTGGGATGAGATAATTTTTAGTAAACAGGCAGCCTGAAATTTTCGTATCTTAACTCCAATCATGAAATGCAGTCATTAATTCAGCGAATTGGATCTAAGATGCGTAATTTTTTTCGAGCGCTTCATTTGGCGTTCTTATATGATTTATTTTCGAAATTGAGGGGCAATAAAGAATGCATGCCGCAAAACACGTTTGGGTGGCGGTGATTACTCATTGCGTACTTCTGCACTCCCCCCCTCGTAACACATCAGGTTGCACACATTTAAGGATTAGTAAAGTGGAGTTTACGACAAGAAATCAATTTCTTTATAAAATCATACTTTTTAAATTCGAGGTAGCTTTTTTTCTTATATGTTGTTTATGTTAACATACAAAACAGTCTAAACATCAAATGTTAGAAATTCATTTTGATCCCCCCCCCTCAAAGTAAAAGTAATAATATAAGTAAAAGTGATGCAGATAGCTAGATAATATGGAACCGAACAATTTTGTACGTTACACCCATTTACGTTAATTTAATAATGAGACAATATTTTAACAACTTCTTATGAATATTTCTGTAAATTTTAATAATTTTCAAGTTGTTTGTCTTTCTAATTCGCCTGTTTTGTCAGAGAAAGAATCTATAGAGGCGTAGTACTCGAATTCCGAGAGTGTCCGATTAACATCAGGTATATATAAGTTTTTCTTTCTTTGGACATGCTCTGCAGCAAACTAAGATGGGCACGCTCTGAACTAAAAATCAAGCAGTATTTTCAAATTTCTTCTTTAAAACCTCCGCTGGAAACAAGCGCATTGCATTTTTAAAATGTATATGTCTAGGGTTACACAAAAGTATATGTGAGTTTTTTGAGGTAAAACCTAGGTAATATGGCCATTGCGACAATTAAAAGTCGAGGCTCTATAAACGTTTGATTCCTGAGTTTTCCAGATTTCAGTGCAGTTTTCATTGATTGTTTCTGCAGCATAATTCTACCAGTCACTTAAAAAACTGCAATCTACTATTGATAATAATAAATTTTCAGAGAAAAATTTTAGATATCTCGGTCTTTTTTGTTTATACAGACATTTTATTGTCACCGTTGTAAATCACAGTTGTCATTATTTTAATGAAGAGGTACTTGAGATTATGTCTACAGTTTCTTTAAGCAAGCTACAGTGTAAGTTGTAACCTATGGTGTGACATACTTGCTTCTTGTATGGGAGTTTTAAGACTACTCAGGTCTCAGTAGTAGAAGTGAGTCACTGATATCACTGATACTAGGGATACTAGTGCTCACACTAGACACACTACGGAGTGCGTAGTGTGATCTTGAAACTAGGTATGTAAATTGACCGCTGCACTAGCCAGGGGGGGGGG